TCCCAGCATAATAACTTGTACACAGTAGGTATTTCAATGTGCCTTCACCTGAAGTAGGATAGTTTGTGGATTACTAGTTGGGATCCCAGCAGTTCAGTCCACCATCGACTTCCTCATTGCAGGTAGGATTGGCCTTTCCATGGTTGCTTTTGGTTAGGTAAATATGCTTTTGCTTTACTTGCTTCTGTAAAGCAAGCCGGCATGAATTTCTGAGGTAACAGATTTCTACTTTTTGGCCTCAAGCAAAAGCACATGCGTCCTTTAAAATTCAGTTTATATTAATTTGAACCCTCCTTAAAATAAGAAAATTGCAGGTCACAACATAAATGCGTATGTACAACCAAACTGGAAAATGTCTAAGTGAGATCCAAGCAGTATTTGGCATTCATCTTCATACCTTGCACTTGAACAACCAAGTACATTATGTGAACTCTAGCCCACGAATCCTTAGAGATAAGGAAAGGAACTGGAAGAAGGATTTATGATGATGGGGTCTCATAACCAGGTAGCATTAGCAGCTACTGCTTTGTCCAGAGCTTGAGCAGGTCATCCACAGCACCTTAATAGAGCATTGTTTGAGTGACATGATGTAATACATGTGCTCTAACAGAACTCATGTTTTCACATCATACTTACTAGTATTTCTGGCATTTAGAACTCTGTTCAAATTTGTCAATATTCACTCAATTTTGAACTCCCCATCTTCTCTCTTCTGCAACCTTTCTTCCTCTTTTATTTCCTCCTTTCCACCCTTCTTCCTGTTCTCTAATGTCATTAAAGGCGAGACTGAATGATATTACAGAGTGGAACTAAACATTAACACTCTCTCCTAGGATGATGTGAATTTTGAAAGACAATTTAACCCAAAGAAATACTCATCAGTTTCTGATAATAATGGTAAATATTGGGCAAGGAAGAAGGGTGGGGTGTGGAAAGCCTTCTTTCCTGGCTCTCCTAAATAACATGTGAAGACAACATATTTTACTTTTAGTCCCAGAAAGAAACATTTGCAGTGATAGAAGGCAGAGGAAGTAATGATTAGAAAGAGAATGATTTTATTTCTAAGATGAGGAGGAAAAGGAGAAATGGGGTAGAACTTAATCTTTTCCATATATGGTAAGTCACCATAATTTATGGCACTTAACATTTATCAGTAATGAACCCAATTTTATTTTAGGCATCATTTCTTTTTACAGAACAATCATAACTAATAACAGAGAGTTCTGCTTTGTAAAGCAGACTTGTGCCCCCCGCCCCATGCTTTCCTGCCTTACACTCCATTAAGGATCTGGTCTGATCACAGAACTAACTCAAGGCTGTGCTCCATTCAGTTATCAAATTGTTTCCTCTCATGGATGCCCACCAGTGCTCATGATGCTCCCTTTACTTGTAATCTCCCCCTACGCTCTGCCTATTTGACTCCTATTCATTCAAGGAGACCCAATTCAGTTGCTAGCCAAGAGGCCTTCTCTAGACAGCTCTTCTACCCTCAACAGACCAACCTCTCCATTCTATCTCCACCACTAGTAGACATGATTATATAATAGAACTCATCATATATACTTAAATATGTTGCTGTCTCTCTGCTACACAGAATATAAACTACTTAGAGTTGGGCCTAGGTCTTTATATTTTCTGTGCCTAATGCTATTAAGTCGTATTCCTTTTCATCATATCTAATACATTATGCGAACTTTAGTCCACTAATCCTTAGAGATTAGTATAGTTTAAACATATATGTTACAGTCTAGACAATTTCCTAAAGGACAGGATGTTTAAAGATGCAAGACTACAAGAAAAAAAAGTTAAACGATTACTGAATTCAAATAATATGTATTAAATACCTAGAAACCAGGAATTATGTTGTGAGACCATTAGGATAAATATAATATAACCACTACCTCTGAGATGTTAACAATCCACTTTTTCAATTCTCTTCTTCTATGTACAACACTTCAGTGGTTCACACATCACTTTACATGTTGTACCTTACAACAACCCTGTGAGGTAAGCCTCAGAAATGGAAATAGCATTTGAATTGCCAGGTCTTCTGACTCCAAGACCAAGGTTTTCTTGCCCATTACATTAGTGTTCCTCAGACTTTTTTCCATTGTCATACATTTTCTCAAGGTGGGATAAACTTATAGTCTCCAAGTTTGGGACATGACCAAAATCTGTTATCTTACAAATTCATCATTACTATAATGTTTTGAGTAAACTGAAACTCAGAAAGCAAGCCAAATTGATTCCAAGTCCGGAGAATCGTTAGTACAGGGCTTCATAGGCAGCCTGTGGCTACCCCCTTTGCCTTTACTGAGGGTCTCCGGGTTACCCACCCAAAATTTTGGGTAACTTAACCAAGGTTTCTTAAAGGCATACCTTTTAATTCAGTCTCTTCTAAAAGCACACACATTCCCCTGAAATGTTAAGCGAGCAGTGACCCTTCCTTTCCTGAAAGGATGTCTCATTCTGGTAATACGATCTGCAAGCCTTCTCGTTGCTGGTTGAACCTAAGGGTTCCAGATGTCTTGTTCCTCCCACGTTGGTCAGGTCCCTGAAGGCTCAAAGGCTGCACAACACACTCTGTTCAGAAGTTGCTAGAGGGCATCTCGGGGCTGCAGCTGTGCTGAGCCCTCTAGTGGTGACTGTGGGATACTTGGCTCTTTCATGGAACCTATTAAAAACTCGGAAATTGCACTTGGGAAGCAAGCCTGTGTGACACTGGGTAGTGAACTTCTTTTAATGGCGTCTTGGTTCTCAGCTTCCTTTTCTTAAGGTCTTTAGCAGGTTTCAGTTACCTCCCTTTGATGGTTCTACCGCCCCCTAAGGCTCTCCCCCTCGCAGGATGTGGCCATCATTCTCTCTACTGAAGAACAAAGGGGTCTTGACCATGTTTCCCAGGGCCTTTCCTGACCATGTTCCCCATGGACATAGACTGTAAGGACAGGTAGTCAATATTTTTCAGTGTAATCTTAGTTTCAACACAGCTTGCAGGCTCTGGAATTACACTTCATGAGTCGAATCCCGGCTCTTATTTAGTAACTGAGTAACTTTAAGAATGTTATTTAACTTTTCTAAGTTTTTGCTTCATCTGTAAAATACAGAAAACAGAAGTACCTGTATTAAACATAGTTTTAGGGAAGAATAACTGTGCTAATGTTCAACAGGTGCTGGTATGGGACAAAGTTCAACAAATAGCCATTTTTATTTTTCACATCTATCAACTTGTGCCAGAAAAATGCAGACTATACATGGAACACAAGAGCACACATGCAAAATGAATTTCATTAATAGTCTATAGTCAGCTAATTGTGCCCTTCGGTTACAAGCAAGGGAGTTCATTTGTGCGATACAACACTTGTACAATGTGGATCCTCTTGTAGTGACTGTATTTTGCACACAGGTGTCCTTCCCCCACTCAACCCAGCGCAAGCAAGCAGTCACGGTGAGTCTGAGCTTGGAGTCTGTGAACCAGGCCTGAGGCCACATGGACAAAAGCAAGAGAGTTTCAGGCCAAGGCAGGGAACTGAGCACTCAAAAGCCAAGCAACCCTGGCCAATCAGATTTGCCACCCACTAGACGTCTGTAAGGTGGCAGAGACTCACAGCTCAAAGTCCATTCAGGAAAGTGGCCAGAAAAATCTGAGGGGTAGAAGTCTGATAGAAACACTGTCAGAAAAGTTAAAGTTAAAGGGCTCAGTACACCCACAGGCTCAGGGAAAGGTCAGTGTGAGCTGAGCAGCTGTTCCATCTGGTGCCAAAGGCCTTGGCTGCTGTCTTCTACACCAGTTAGGCCTCCCTGACCAGCCCCACCTACAAAGGCCAATTCTTCTGCTTTAAAGGGTCTGGAGTCTCTTAAGTATGAATGGGAAGAGGGCGCGTGCTGGGCAGTCTGCTGGGGTGGGTTTCGGTGGCTGCGAAGGAAGAGCTCCTGGCTGAAGCCAGCACCTCCATGTTGTATTCCGTGCGTTTCTTTGGGAGGGGCCTTGGCTGCCAGGGACCCTGACAAGCTGCGACTTGAGCCGTGCCCTAGAGCCCGGCAGAATTGGGAGCGGTGTGAAGCAGGGAGGGCAATCCTGCAAAAGGGTGGGGGAACAGCAAGCGCAAAGGCAGAAGGAAGAATGAATCTGCTGCTGAGGATGGCATGGAGACTTCACTGATTGGAGCCCCGAGTTCTTGCAGGGGGGATGGAGACGGCTACGATTGGACAGCTAAAGTGGGGCCAGAATTGGAGGGCTTTGAATGCCCGACCGAGGAGCGCTCTACCCGCTCCCTCTAGGCTGCTCCGTTCCACCCGGTGCTCCGGAGTCAGCCCCAATCCCCTCACCTGCGGCAGCGCCCGCCTTGCCTGGGGAGGAAGCAGTCCAGGCGGCCCGGGGAGGGGTGCACTCATCTCACCTGACCCTTGGAAGAATTCAGTCTCCAATCCCCTCCAAACGGGAGCACAGGGCGCCCCCCCCCGCCCACGCGAGCCCTCGGCCGCGCCT